GTTTATCCAGCTCTGCACCTTGTTACCTTAAAAAGTTAATTTCAGCAATTAGTTATGAACTCTCAAATACCAAATATTTCAGTGATAATCTCTGCACAACTCAGGACTATTCACACAACTTGCATTAACTGTGATAGCCATTCACAAAAAACCCCTTTCATATTTCAATAATAAAACACTTGTCAATTAATCCAAATCATTTCAAGTCAAAACAGAAAGTAGCAGCAGTTTCTGCTAAATAAGCAATCATTTAATAATATCCAAGATCATGTATCCAGCAGCAAAATGTTCACATATTCACAAATGCTTTCAGAAACTGAAAACAAATTTGAGTAATCACTTCCTTTTTAAAAGAATACTGAAAATACTGAAAACATTTATCCCATTTCTCTCTCACAGTATTTTTTTTTAATTATTCTGTTAGGTTTTTAACTTTTCTCTTTTTCCTAATCCTGTTGTTTGACTTTAAGTCCAATTCAGCCAGAGTTTCTTTTTAAAATATAACTCAGTTTCACAATGTTTGTTTTGAAATGACAAATATTAGTTATGTATCCATTTATTCACTGATAGATATGGGTGTCATTGGCTAGGCCAGCATTTATTGTCCATACCTAATTGCCCTTCTGAAGGTGGTGGTAAGCCATCATCTTGCACTGCTGCAAACCATGTAGTGTAAGTACACTCAGAGTGCTCTGTAGAAGAGATCTTGAAGATTTTGACCGAGCAACAGTCAAAGAATGGCGATGTAGTTCCAAGGCAGGAAAGTGTTAATTCTGATGTTGACTTGGCATTTTCCTATACAATTTATTTTTGTAAAAAAATTGTCAGATGCAGGATCAACAACAGACTACACCTGACCCAGTCCAGTCCATCACTTAACACCCGCAGAGTTGTTCATTTCCCAAAGACAATTATCTAACACGTAACCACAACTTGGCCACACCATTTGTGGCTCTCTGCAGAGAAGGAAGAAACATGGTGAAGAGTTTTCACACTATCACAATGAAGAACTCTTTATTCTTCATTGTTGTAAGCAACTCTTCTACTTTAGTCAAGAATAAGAGTTTCCCAATTCCTTTAATCACATATAAATATTTCTGGACTTCCTCTTTTTAATACAATTCTGTGACCGTTTTGTTTTCTTAGTTTGGTGCAAAACTAAGTTAATATCAACAATTTACAGGATGAGCATTTTTTCTATGTTTTAGCTTCTACATGAATGCATGTTGTTGTTAATGCCGTATGAAGTAAATAAGTAGCCTGAGGTTGCTGTACTGCTTTACACTTTGGAATTTTCTGGTTGTGTAATACAGTGTTTATTTCCTTTAATATTTGCTTGCTGTAAATAAGATTCAACAGTGTAACTCAACTTATGTTGTAACATTAGGAGTACATATTTCCAAAACTCTACCTCTTGTTCAAAATTCATACTCCTTTGCTTGTCTTTCCAGACTTTCTCTATGTTTAGAATCTCAGATATTTGCTGCCCCCCAGTGTATGGATTAGCATTAGTATTTTTGCTAACCCATATTGACTCTACTAAGTGTTTTCCTCATTGCTGAACCATATTTCTTTGAATCTTGCGCATTTTGAAAGGCATCAATCAAGCTCCACTCTTGGAGAGCTTCTGGCTAGACCCTGTGTGGCAAGGAGAAGTATTGTCACCAAGGACCCTCCAACAGGTGATCTGAAGTTCCTTTTTTAGCGAGGCTATAAAACTCATCACTTTTGCGTTTACAATATTTGTGTCTATGGAAATCCCCAGATCATGCATAAAATCTGTTCTATGTCCAAATCCACCCTGAGTTTAGTCATTTAATCTTAGTACCTATACCCAAGGATTTTTTTACACCAGTCTTCACAACTTTCTAAACGTATAAGCAGTCATTTTCCAATTCATAATCTCCAACCATTCTGAATTTATACATATCTGGCTGGAAAAATGTTATTCCCTGCTCTAAGAAAGATCGCTTTACTGAAACATGAACTATTTTTCTCTCCACAGATGCTACCAGACTTGCTGAGTAATTCCAGCATTTTCTCTTGTTTTATTTCAGATTTCCAGCATCTTCAGTATTTCCTTTTTATATTTCTTCGTTGTTGGCCCAACTCTCACTTATTGGGGTTTTTTTCTTAAATGTTGAGACAGAATGAAATAAAGACTCAAATATCCAACTCAACATATTAGAAAACAGTGATGATGATTTCAAAAAAAACAGCTATTTGGCAGATGAAAATTAACACAGTGAAATGTGAAGCAGTGGATTTTGGAAGAACAAATTAGGAGAGGCAATCTAAACTAAGTAATAAAATTTTATGGGGATGTAAGCAGGACCTGAGGATGCACATTCAAGCATAAGATCTTAGAACAAGGTGATGAACCTATTTTTTAAAAAGCACACATGAAATTCTTGGCTTCATGAGGAGGAAGCGGATACAAAAGCCAGGGTGTTACATTAAACCTGTGTCAATCACTAGTTAGAACTCAACTACAGTGATGTACACAATGGGCATTGTACTTGAGGAATGATGTCAAGACTTCAGTGTGATCTCACCATTGCCCTGTATAATTGAAGCATAATCTCTCTAAGCTTGCATTCAATTCCACTTGCAATAAACTGTAACATTGTTAGCTTTCCTGATTACTTGCTGTACTTGCACACTAACCTTCTGTGATTCATGCACTACAACACTCAGATCTCTCTGCATCTCAGAGTTCCGCAACCTGTCACCATTTAGATAATATGCTTCTTTTTAAGTTGTTCTGCCAAAATGGACAAATTCACACAATGCTAACATTGTACTCCATTTGCCAGATCTTTGCCTCCTCATTTAACCTATCTGTATCCCTATATAGGCTCCTTCTGTCCTCTTCACAACTTACTTTCCCACCTATCTTTGTGTCATCAGCATCTAAATCATTTATATAAATTGTAAAGCGTTGAGTTCCCAGCACTGACCCGTATCGCACAACACTTGTGATTTCCTGCCAGCCTGAAAAATGTCAACTTTATTCCTATTCTCTGGTTCCTGTTAGTAAAGCTAATCTTCAATCCATGCCAATATGTTATCTTCTACACCATGAGCTTTAATCTTCCACAATAACCTTATCAAATGCCTTCTAGAAATCAAAAGACAATACATTGACTGGTTCCCCTTTTTTGAAGAAGTAACTTGTGCTGTAAATAAAGTCCAATAAATTATTTAAACATGATTTCCCTTTGACAAAACCAAGTTGGCTTTACCTTAAAGTTACCGAGTGCCCGGTTATAACATTTAAAACTAGCTTCTAACGTTGTCCCTATGACATATGTTAAAATAACAGGCCTGTTGTTTCCTGCTTTCTACCTACAGCCTTTTTCGGATGAAGAAATTACATTAGTTATTTTCCAATATAAAGGAATCATTCCTGAATCTGATGTGTTTTGGAAAATTATAACCAGCACATCAATTATTTCACTTGCTACTTCTTTTAAGTCCCTAGGATCAAATCCATCAGGACCTGAGGACATTTCAACTCACAGTTCCAACAATTTACTCCATACTACCTCTGTGGTAATTGTAATTTTCTTGAGTTCATCCCTCCTTTTCAATTCTTGATTTCAGACATTTCCCTCCTTATTAGTCTTTTAGTAATTCTTTACCGTTTTTTAATATTCTGGTGAATCTTCTATGCACACAAGATTCGCCAGAAAAGAAGCAAGAATGAAATCCTTATAGGAGGTTCTGAGAAGATTTAATAAAGATATATGAGGTTTTGGTAGAATAGATAGGCAGAAACTTTTTCCATTTGTTGGAGAGTTTGTTAGCAAAGCACAATGAACTAAGACAATTGGTGAAAAGACAAAAAGTAGAGAAGATTTTTTTTCAAAATCAGCAGTTATGATCTATAATGCACTGTACAGTATTGCAACTGTAATAGTAACTTTCAAAAATTAATTGGTTGAATGCTTAAAAATAAAAAAAAACCTTAAAGGAGGTCCAGTCTAATTGGATAGATCTTTCACCTCAGAACCATCTCTCTATGCTGTATGATAGATTTTTGGACAAGGAAATTAAAGAAAAACACCTTGGACTTATATACATAAATCCTAAAATTTGACCTTAAGCCCTATAGGAGGCGATATAACAAGTAACGAAAGGCTTTGCAAAGAGTTAGGTTTAAAGGTTTATCCAAAGGAGGAGAAATAAATAAATAGGAGTTTAAGTACTGGTCATGGCCATGAAAACATTGCAAACAAGTACAAAGAGAGCGCAAATTGTAAGAGTGCAGAGATCACGGAGGTTTACGATTCAGGTGAACACAGAGATAAGGAGCAATGAGGAGGACTTGTCAAAATTTAAAAACTGGAGTTTTGTTCAACTGTCAACACATTGGCTCAACAATCACAGAACAATGAATAAATGGAATTTGAGTAGAAGTTAGAATACAGCTCGTAGAATCATGGATGAGTAGAAATCTAAATATGGAGCTTACAGAGTGAGAGTTTTGCAGGAGCATTAGAGTAGTCATGTCTAGTGGGAACAAGGACTAGCATGAGCAATGAAACTTGGAGGATAAAGCATCTTTTATTGATACCTTTTATTTCCAAATAGGGCAAATAATAGTTGATCCGTATGTGTGACTGTATTTTTAAAGTAACAGTTTCTTGGCATTTTCTAGTTTTCTTCTTTTGTTAAAATATTGACTAATAATTAGATTACAGCCCCACACGTTCTAATGTAAGGTTATTTACGCGGATTGGTAATTAGTTGTCTCCAGATGCTGTTAGGTCTGCTGAGTGTTTCTAGAATATTCTATTTTCATTTCAAGTTCAGATGCCGTTTTATTCCTTGTGCACGTTTGAGTCTGTTGCTGATCATGATGGAGAAACAAAACGATAAAGCAATGACCTTAAATCGGAAACAAAAATAATCAGATTTTGTATTTTGTAAACATTAATAAAATATTGTTGATAAATAGATGGGCTTTGATGTGGTACTTTATTATTCGTTAGAACAATCTGAGTCATAGGCAGAAATTTTTTATGACTAAGAAGAACCACTGACTTGTTTATTTAGTTCGGTTATTTTATTGATAATTACCAATCCCCAGTTTCGATTTAAGTTATTTATCGAACCACATAGGCCAATTACGGGAAGGAGCAACAAAAAGAATCTTTGACGGATCGCTCTCCATTCTGACTAAGACACAGTTCCGGCAAATAACCGTAAATATTGCAAATAACTGAAGTAGCTGCTCAAATAAAATGTAGTGTTAACGCTTTGAACCCGAGAGAGCGTGTACAAAGCAAACGCCTACAAATTTTTTTTTATTCCGCCTTTGCATATGTTTGTGCATTTCTTAAATGTAAGGATAAATCAATTTTCCGCATGTGTGGACATGTAGCGGTGTTTTGTGCACACGTACGCGGACCGCAACGGTCCAAGTCTTTAAATAAACACAATCGCAGCCCATTCGTCGCTGTTTCCCAATGAAGCGAGGGCCGTATCACAGTGTGAGCGAGGAGCCCAGTCGCAAGCACCTCCCCGCGATTCAGACCCACATGGGCAACCAATTGTTTCAAAAACCACTGACGTAGCTGCCATTCATTCCCTTCCACATGGGCGAACCCATTCTCATGCAGGTGGAGAGGAGGGGGTGAGACAAGACAGAAACGAAATCGTTCATTCACAATAAATTACAGCAGCTCATTCGCGACCTGTAATGCTTAGAAATTAGTGACGTGAGATAAAACACGACACTGTCAACCAACCGCGCCGAACGAACTGTCAAGGGGGAAGGGCGATGTCTGGCTAATCACCCCTCTCGCTGGCTCGACGGATGGTTGTTTCCGAGTTGACGTCAGCCTTTGTTTACACCTGAAAGCCCGCGGCTCCGGGATCGGGACTCGGACCGAACTCGTGTTGTGTTGCTCTCTCAACATTAACACCTTCCCCCATTATTTTGCACAGCCCCGGGGACCGCCGTTACAACCCATTCATTCTACAGATTGGTACTTTTGTTTACCACACACTCTCCCCTCAACAAAAGAAAAAAATAACACACCACCATGTTATCAGATACAAGCTAATGTGTTCGACAGAAACGACGACCCAGGGACAGACGAGACAAAAAGAAAAGAGCATTATCCACCGCCGGCAGCGCAGAAACAACGGGGAGATCAAGATGCCGAGGCGCAGGGAGAGCTTCCTCTTGCTCGAACAGGCCGTCACGGTCGACTCGAAGGAGATCGACGCCTTAGTGGCTAAAATCGGGGAGACGTTGCAGTTCCAGCGGATGCCGCACGGTACGAAGCAGCAGCAGCAACAACAACAGCAGCAACAACAGCAACAGCAGAGCCAGCAACTACAGTATCAGCAGCGGTTGTACCCCCAGCACCAGCAGGAGCCCCGAGTCTCCGCCAAGTGCGGCCTGTGTTGCATCGAGCGCTGGAAGGTGCCCAGTCGCAACAAACCGTACAGCGTGCCGCACCGGCTCCGGGAGGCGGCGGCGGCGGCGAACACAGCCAAGAGCAGCCAGCACACCATGCGTCCGTCCCCGGAGTGCGGCCCGCGGCAGCCCGCTCACCAGAAACTCGAGCAGCTCTTGTCGTCCGGTAACCTGATCAAAGAGGCGGTGAGACGCCTCCACAGCCGGCACCACTATGCACACATCTACTCCGAGAAGCTCACTCTGTAGCGGAGAAGACATTCGCAACAACCACCCCCCGGGGATGGGGAGGGTAATGCTGCAGAATACAACCGGAGACAGAAAAGGTGAAGACAGAAATAAATCTACAATTTGAAACAACCTCGATCATTTTTTTATGAGCAACGGTGGCTGACTGTATTGAGAAAATAAAACACGTCGAAACGATGACCACACTCGAATTTGATGCAGGGCTACCGTGTGAAATTTGAAAGCTTATTTTTTATATATGTTTTGTCTTAACGCACTGTATGATATTCTTAGGGAGGTTAATAAAACCCTTGGGATCCACTTTTGCACCAGTCCACTGACTACAGAGTTTTTTTTAAAACAAATGATCCAAAAAACAAAAGGTGGATGTTGACTTTTAATTTTTTTTGAACGGGTATTCCTGAGGTTACACAACATATGTTTACAGCAGAGAATCGCACTGGTGTCTGGTGCTTGTTTCTTTGAAGTCGGGGCACCACAAGGTCGTTATCATGCCGACCTTGGATTTGTGTTTTTTTTCGGTTTGTCTTTGGACTCCGTGTTTTGACTGACCGTTTCCACAAATGTTTGAATTCCCCAAACCGTCTTATCAGCGTTGAACTGAATATCACATGGCAGCTGAGACGAGACAACCCCTCATTCCAACTTTAGACACAGTACACCAGGAATTCCGCGAACTGTTTACAGTACGTGTCGTACCCCATGGGCTTTGGGACCTGGTTTAATGGATAAGTAGGGTTAAGTTCGCTGTTATTTAATAGTCATTTAATTTTAGCCACAATCAATACGTGTATACTTCGTAACGGAGTATTTTGTTGTTCCTGTTGTCCAGGAATTGATGTGTTGAATAAAACAATGCAATTAAAAAACAATTTTTATTCGTATTCCTCAAATATATTTTGCTTCTTAATTTGCATGAGTTTATTCGGTTGGAAAGGAAATAAGAGGTTTGGTGTACGACACCACAGGAACTGATTTTCTAGTGTTGCATGTGCTAATTAGGAAATCGTGCCGGAGTTGTGTGTGTATTGTGTATTAATCTGTGGAAGGGTAGCACTATTCATCCATTTGTATTTAGATCAGGTCTACATAGCATTGTTAGCTGCAGTGAATATTTGCATCAAGAGGGGCTGGGGGAAACTTCAGAATTAAAAAAAATGCATGCTCTTTTAATGAACCACATATGCATATATTGAAATATTTTACCATTTCTGAAGCTTATGTAGATGTTATATAACCATAATTTTCTATAAATTTCCTGTGGTTGATCTTGAAGTGTAGAATTACTGCTGGATTGACTGAAACATCCAGTTCAAGGTGAATAGATCTGCAATGTAAGGATTAACAGAAGAGGAATTTACTAAATCAGCAAACTGCATTGCTCTTGATGTAGATTAAACATCATATTTCATATACAAGTTTTAATACCACTCAGTTGTAGGTTGGGTACTAGAATTACAAACATGGTGCAAATGGCCTGTTGAATAAATGTCCCATCAAATAATGGGCTATGTTATAGGTGTTACTTTGCTTGAATCTGAATAAATCTACAATTTGGTTATTCTGAATAAATTATGCAAATTCGTAACCTGTATAGTGAGAAAAATGTGTACTTGATGAATCATTTTTATTTTTGGTGAAGTTTTGAGATTTTTAAAAGAGTTAACTCAAATAACATGTTGGATTTAATAATTAGAAAGAAAAAAAAAGCCCATAACTTTAATGACCTTCCTTTCAGTGCCAACTAAAGGCTGTGTTTGGCATTTTGATGGAACAGTATAAATCACCACTTTTTCAAAACTCGTTACCACCCATACATTGAAATTTGGTAATGTACAAGCAGAATTGTTTAGTCCATTATCCAATTTCTGGAAGCTGGTTTAGAGAAAATAAGCCAACAATAGCAGGAAAAGAAGGAACTGAATTATCGTTGAGACCATGAAAACAGCCAGTTTCAGGTGTACTGTGTAGCTATTTTTAACAATTGAAAATGATACAGACAAATAGTTACTGAAACACAAAGAGAAATAAAAAGCATAGATAAGTGATGGTTAAACAAAGTATATGGTAGAACAGGCTGGAAGAGTCTTATCAAATCAGGAAGAAATAATAAGACAAGCAAGTGAAATTAAATTGTAAAACAGTGTAATTAAGGTTTGGACAGTGTGAACAATCTCAATTGAAGACAGCCAGGAGAAAACACAAGGAAAACAGGAGGAAATAAAGCAAAAATAAATTTTATTCTAAATGTCTCTATATTTTATGCCTATGTCCTTTATTGAAAATACCTCACAAGATTGCACAATTGCTTTTACATTAGAGCCTGGAATTTAAGGCATCTAGGAAGTTTGTTGCCCCTAACATGTTCACATCTGTCAGTGTTTATACGCCTCTATTGCATAAACTACAGTAGATTGATTATACGTTTAATGTGTTTCAGGAAATAGGTTATTAATATATTGCAGGTTCTTGCATGCTGAATAATAAACTGGTACTGTTTTGTTCCGCAGGTTTGTGGGGCTAAACACCATGGTTAAATCACATTTACAAAATATGAGCACATAAAAAGTAGCAATATAAATTCAATAGGGAACAAATAAACAAGAAGCAAAGACTTCATCTACTTGTACAATTATCTAACCCAAGGGTGTAACAGGAAAACACCCATTACCTGGACTGGAGCTTGGTGTGTTTTGTTTATGTTTTTCTTTAATCTCAGTATAGACAGACTGAATAAACAGTAGAGCAAGCCTTAGTTTGAATCATTAACCCACTTCATTCCATGCCATTTCAATTTAACAGGTCATCTGACAGAATGTCTTCTAAATGTCATAGCGTTTTAAATTCCTTTCCTAAGTGAAGGCTCTCACAACATATCCCTTAACTAAAGAAAATCTGACTGCCCTTTCAGCTATCCTGTTTCAAAACTCTACTTTACACTCACATCTTTATCCTCATTCAATAACACAAAGATCAAAATGTGAGTGAGAGATGTACTTTGAATTGCCCAGGCAAATTATCCAATTGCATTTTTATAACTCGAATGAGCATTTTAACCAAATTCTGTCTGACATACATCCCACATGGGATTGTCCTGAGAAAAACCTTGAAACCAAACTTCAATCTAAAAGCATTTTCTCCAACTGAATCATATCTAGAGCCTTTCTATTGAAACAAATAGTCAGAAAGTTCACATTTGTGCAATAATAGTGTGCCCTAGGTCCAGTCACACAGCTAGAACAACACCTGGGAGTTCATGTAGAGAAATTCTGTGAAAGAGAGAAGTATGGTCCTGGGAATTGTAGCTTTCCACTGCTAAATGACAACACCCTGGAATTTGTTCAACACCAGATACACAAATAACAGCTGAAAAAAAATAAAAGTAAAGGATCAATATATTTGTATTGTTGAGAATTAGACGGTTTAACTAAAAATCTTGTGCTTGTATGGGATGAGATTTGTTTTGTAGTTATAAGGAGAATGGATGTGTTGAAAAGTGAATACTCTGAAAAGTGTTTACTAAGTGGTTTGCTGATACTGCAGTAAGTCAATGAGACTCAGACTATGCAAATTACTGCCTGTTCAAATGCTGATCGACGGAGACTCACTATGGAAAATTAACTCTTACTCTACTGCCTCACTAATAACAGCTTCAAAAAATCTAGAAATACTCCATGGGAGATAGAGCAGCAATATAAATGTTTGTAATGTAAATAGTTGAGAGTAAGTGATTTTAGGGAAGAGAGAACAAAGTTCCTATCATCTTAAAGTTTGGCCTGACTATCAGTCGTATATTTTTACAGCAAGTCAGTGATTTGATATATGTTGTAAAATTATTCTATTACAATGATGGGCATACAGCTGTCACTTTTAGTCTGCAGCAAGACATGATAAAGGTCACAAGGCACACTCCAGGTCCCAGACTATTTGTAAGCAATGTCATGGGAATAGCATTGCTAACTCTGGATGTATTCCAAGGTTCTTTCTTATAGCATTCTGTTTGCAACAGTCCAACCCAGTCAAACAACCTTTTTCCAAAATTACTAATACTTTCAAAAGTAATAGGGTGAAAATGTCTAAAGAAAGTGAAAATAAATGGTTTTTGAATTCTGCTGTGATTTTTCCTCCAGTGCTGTTTACAGTGGCCTGGGGATTAATCCTTAATATTTTACTAATGCAGACACCATGGACCAAAAGACTTTCTTCTAGGCTGTAAATTTGGGATTCCTGGAAATTCCAAGACAAATATGTTGATAACTTCACATGGGCAATTCAGTGGTAGGGGAGGCAGTGAGTGACGTAGTGGTAATGCAACTGGACTACTAATATCCAGATCACCAAGTTATTGTTCATGGTTTCAAATACCACTGTAGTAGATGGTGAAATACGAATTCAATAAAAAAATGTGGAATGAAAAATTGTCCTTATGGCAACCACCTAACCACCATCAATTGTTGTAAAAATCCATCTGGTTCATTAATGCCCTTTACGGACGGGAAATCAACCATCTTTACCTGGTTTGATAATTTGACTCCAGACACACAGCAATGTGGTTAACTCTTAACTGCCCTCTGTTCAATTAGGGATGAACAATACTTACAGGGCTAGCCAGTTATGCTGACATCCCATGAAGGAATAATAAAACAAAAAAAATCAAAGACATTAAACATTGATTACAGATTTTAAAATTACCATTACTTTTAATTATCTGAACCATTTACTATGTTTTGGTTCATTCTGATGCAGCTATTAAATTGAAGGAAGTATGTATGTTAGTCATAGAACCTCTACAGTGTGGATAAAGGCCATTTGGCTCAACAAGTCCACACCACCCCTACAAAGAGCATCCCACTCTGATTCTTTCCCCTATCCCTGCATTTCTCCATGTCTAACCCAAACATCCCTGGACACTATGGGCAATTTAGCATGGCCAATCCACCTAGCCTGCACATCTTTGGACTGTGGGATGAAACCCACGCAGACACGGGGAGAATGTGCAAACTCCACACAGACAGTCGCCCGAGGGTGGAATTGAACCTGGGTCCCTGGCGCTGTGCAGCAGCAGTGCTAACCACTGAGCCACTGTACTGCCCCTTCTGCATATTAAAAAAAATTGTAATGAAAGGAAGCTTCTTGTTTAGATCAAAAAGAATAATGCAGAGCAATTTGTACATTTTCATGTCCCTCTTTTCATTGATATCACCTTTGGTGCTTTCTGGACTTTTTAATATAATGAAACTATGATATTTATGTAAGACCATAAGACATAGGAGCAGAAATTAGGCCATTCAGCCCATCGAGTCTGCTCCGCC